TTAACAAAACTCTTTACCAAGTTCGATACTTATCTGAAGCTTATAAGCTTCGTATGAAACTCCTTACAAATGCTACTCTTCGGTAGAGTCAAGCCTTTTTTTACTGCAAGACCCCTCCATATCAGAAGACGTTAAGATCCATAATGGTCCATTACTGGATCATTCATTACGCGTATCAGTTGATAATAAAAGAGGTTTTATCTGTTAAATCTGCTGAATGGCGCCTTGTGGCACTATCTTTGTCGGATTCTTATTTAGTTTATATCAAGTATAAAATGGTGGGGTGGTAGAGTTTGCGGCTGTTGTTCGATCGATCCAGGTTCGATTCGTAGCTGTATAATGTTTTACGTTGTGTTTAATTGCCGTTAGGAGTCCTAATATCCTCAGTTAGCACATTGTTAGATTATCATTCGCTCTCTAGAACAATCTTGCTGTCTTGAGAATTTGATACTTCGTTGTTCATCATGAAACGGTTGAAGTAGTTCAGGGCGAAGTCCCAAAAAGTGATTAAGTTAATTTTTCCATCTCTCTCCTGAGGTTATCAACAGAGTCGTGTTGGTATGTACGGTAACGAAGAAGTTGACTATGGTGATGATGACAGTATTTCATCCTCTTGGGATGATACTGCTCAAACGTCGGACACTCATCTCTTTCATGGTGCATCATCCGAGAAAGAAAGAGAGAGTGATACGGTTGAAACCAATACTGGCACTCATGGTGACGACCTTGCTTTCATGAAGAATATTCGTGCTGCTGCGCAGATGGTTACTCGAGCTTCTGGTGATATCGATTATACTGGTAGGAACCCTGTTGACACGCTTCAAAGGGTCCTGGGTGTGAATATGGGGAACCCCATATATAAATGTATGGCTTTCAGATGCCCTAAGGGCAAAGATCTTGGCTCTTCAGTATTTGCTTGGGCTCGATCTTGGAATGTACAAACCCACCCTGATGGCCATGACTACACTATGGTTGAACGTGGGAAGCCTCGTTCATGGGATTACCCAAGGGTGTGGGATAAGATTTCTCAGGCCACGACAAATTGTCAACTTGATCCTGCTCCTTTGCAACTGTTGGCTCTGTGCCTGGTCGCTCCGAGGGCCATCAGTGACCAGATCGCCAATGGTGCTCTCAAGGATCTGAAGGATCACCAGACCTCTGACCTGCCAACTAACTCTTGTTTGTTAGCTTGGCAGATGTCAACAATAAGTCGTCTCCGAGTGAGATTGCTGATGCCTTCTCGAAGTTCATTGAGGGTGCCGTCGCATGGTAAAGCAGCTAGAGATGATATGGTTATCTTGAGTACG